GTAATATTTACTGATTCTTTCAAATATCAATACTTGCTCTGTTATTCTTCATATTAAGTTTTTTGGGTTTGTACAGTGAAATTTGGTTTACTGGTTGATGGATGGTGCAATTTTCTTTCTAATCGTCACAGATAATTTTCATTAGTAGTAGTTGATCTTGTCTCAGATATGTTTAAATCATAGACTAATTCATCACGACAATATGTTTCTTTTGTTGATATTATCTTGATGGGTCAGCTAAGTCAGACACTGGATTGACTTCTAAAGTATGTTTTAAGGTTGTCACCATTACTTAACAGATATTGAATTATTTCCATGGCCGCAACAACTAGGGTATCTCTTGCAGCTTCAGCGGCTGGAGCTGGAAGTTGCTCCCCTAACCACTCTGCTTGCTTTGTATTATTTCTAATATTTACTGGTCAACATGTCTTGTGATTTTAACTTGAATAATCAATTTGCTTAAGAGTATTCCCAGGTAATCTTGAGTTCTTTTCTGGGGTTTCCAAAACTCTGTTAATTCACTGATTAAATTTTGCAGGTATCTGGCTAGTTACATTTAATTCTTTCCTTTTTCCTAGTTAAGGATGCTGACTCTCTTATTTACTGCAGTGTGTTCGATGGTCCTTCCACTATTTTCAGCTACTGGTGTCTTGTCACGTTTAACTTCCATATTTCTTGGGTTTGCCCCAGCATTTTTACTTCTTTCTATTGGGTATGTCTCTCAGAATTTGTTTGAAGTTTGAATGTCTGATAGAGATATACTGGTATAATTTTCTGTTAAAATCCTGCAGATATGAAGCTCTCTTCTATTGTGCTTTGGCACTTGCGCTAATGGCGTGGATGCTTTTTGAGAATGTGCACCGCTATTTAAGTAAGGCAAGCTTATTTTCAGCGTCTGTTAAAGCTATGCAGAACAGCATTCTAAAACACGATGAGAGATGCCTACAGCTTTCAGATATGAGAATTGCTTTGACATTTGTAAGTAATAGCCTATTCTGTCTTTGCATTCTGCAATAATATCTGAAAGTTTGAATCTCCTCCCTATCCTTGGCGCACATGGCGAGAAAAAGAGGAAATTGCACCAAAGGAAGTAAAAGCAATTTTTTCTCTTCTGTCCAGATGGTTTTCTTCAATGTCGCATTCTTTGGAACTGGCAATTTTGCAAGTATTGCAAGCTTCGAGATTTCTTCTGTCTATCGTTTTATCACAATTTTCAGCGTAAGGGAACCTAAATTCCTTTTCTCTGCTCTATTATTCGTTTTGGTGCAATACTGCATGTTTGATATATCTGCTCTTATTTTGCAGCCATTTCTGATGGCAGCTCTCCTTATTTTCAAACTATTGATTCCATTCATGCTTGTCATGTAAGTATATCTGTGGCATCTCTTTCATTGCCATTTGTTGAGTTTTCTGATAGTTTTCTTCTGATGAAATTTCTTTATGATACTTAACATGGCCCAAAGTCAATCCCTTGTCAAGTTTTTGTGAATCATAACTCTAAAGTGACATGGTGATAATTATGCTGGAGTAGCCTATTGATTATGCTAGGGAGTTACATGGCAACACTTACGTTATAACTACAAACTTTTGAGCATTTGCTCGGTATTTATTTCCTGTGATTTACCAATATTTTGTGGATTAAAATGTTTTGTCCTCGTACGTATCACCGTCCTTTTTACTTGTTTGACAAGCGTATTCATTTCGAAGATCTAATGACACTTGCTTTCACAAGGAAATTTCACTGTACCCTCCTGGTTTTTTCACTGCTATGGCTCGTGTAATTGATATGATTTCAATCTCTAATGCAGATGCGCATTCAGTTCATTAACCAAAGTAATCAGAGTTCCACTTTTGGGGTGCTATTTTCTTGTTATATTGTGTTCAGACGTGATGACGATCCATTTCTTTTTCCTGGTATGGTTTCGACTTGCATCCAATAGCGTCATTCTTCCACAAAATTTATTTATTATTTACCTGAAGTAGCAGAAAAATAGGTGGCAAAACTGATTTTATTTGAGGTATATGCCCCTGCTTCTTCCCTCGCCCCTCTCGTTCGGGTGGTGTTCCTTCCCAACTTAATAGACACGCAATAGATAGGCGTAATATATCTGGGATTTCCTTTTTGTACATAAATCAGAAAAAGACAGAGAGAGAAGCAATGTTTGAGTTTGGTACGGGTTGATTGAAGGTTTGCATTCATGTCTAAATAATATGTTTTCTGAATTTGGTATGATGTTTGACAGGTCCGAAATACTGGGAGTTGGATGGAAATTGGTAACAGCATTAGCCATTTTGGAATAATGAGCGCACAAGTTGTGTTCGTGCTCTTGCTTTTTGCTCTAACAAACGTATACACGAAAGACATCCAAACTAGCTCAGCTCGGCACTCGTCTCGTAAAGCCATGTGATTCATTTTGATCTTGAGTGTTTTTTTTTTGGGTTTGTTCCAGGGTAATGTAACTCATTTCATTTCTCAGCTTTCTGATTAGTCATTCAATTCATTGTTACACGAGGCTTACATAGGATAATAGTACTACTTGTGGTTGAGGTCACTCTCGTTCGACTATCAGGTTATTCTCTTTTTACCCTTCGGGCTTGGAGCGTCCTTTACATAAATTATATGAGCTTTTCCCAGTTATTTGTGAGATGAATTATATGAGCAACGTTCTCCCTGACTATTAACGTTTATTTTAGTACTATTGTTAATTCGCACCATTACTCGAGGTGGGCATGAATGAATGGCTTTCCCTGCTCAAGTTCTTTTCATTTTGTTTTTTTTTTTTTTTTGGTTTCCGGTTGGGTGACGGGTTCTTGTGCTTGCGCACAAAGATCTCAGTATTAAAATTAAGTAGGGAGTTGGACCTTCCTAATGCTCCCTCCAATGCTCTCATGACACGTTGGCCTGTTCTTTTTGTTTTTTTTTTTTTTTTGAAGACTGGTAGTCTAGTTATTTTTGCATTAATTTTTTTTTTTTCCCAAACACCTGTAGAAAGTAGAGACCTAAGTAAATTCCAACTCTAAAGTATCGGTTGAATTTGGTCCTTGTATCTGATAGAATTTGGATTTACTTGCTTGCATACTACCACCATTGTTTAAATAAACCCAAGTACTGTTGAAACCAGGAAATAAATTTGGATACTAACTACCAAAATTGTTTTTCCTTTTTAGTTTTTTCTTTCGATAGGAAAATCATTTGACTTACTCGGGGAGTGAGTGACCACATTCCCAACTATGAATGATTGGGTGAGTTTGGTTCCTCCATCCATGGCGAAACGACTCGAAAAACTGATGCAAGAAAAGTTGGGTGAATCAGGGTTGACACTCGATATCCATGGCAATTCTGTCTGAAGAAGATGAATGTTGGATAGGACGGATCCATGTTTCAACAGTTTTTCCTCAAAAAACAAAGAAAACAAAATAAAAGGCCTAACTCATTTACGTTCAAATTCCTAACTTTTGGATCTGTGCATTTTTATTTTATTTCTTATTGTTTCCTATTTCTTTGGTTGGAAAATGCCCACTCCTCCGCGTAAACAGGCAAGACAGCTACACCACCGCAGAAACGAAAAGAGGAAACAGGCCCGAAAGTGGCAGGAAAATTTCAGTGGAAAGACCGGGCACCTCTCTTACGGGGTCCGTAATTAATTTATTGACCTACCGAAAGTTTGTTTCTTAATTCTTATCATCGTCCATCTCTCCAGTTATTATTATGATACAGTAGTATTATCAAACTTGGAAGCTCAGTTGTTGCGGACAAAGCACGTCACGGTCACCCACCCCAGAACTAGAAAATGAGCCAATCATGCAAGTAAGCAATGATCCTCTCCCTATTAACTTAACGTATGAGTGCCCGCCGAAATCCCAATTCCAATTTGTCGTCTTAACGGTTGCAGGTTTAGCAGTGGACTGGAATTGGCAAATTTGGTGGTAAACTCAGAACTGCTCCATCGTTCCTGGGATGCAATTTCTGACCTTGAAAAACGTTCCCGCACACATGTTCCAGACCTTCCCTTATCTGTTGAATACAAAGACTCTGAACATCCAGGTGTGGGTACCATCGTCGCCTTCGCTTGCCCGCCATTTATTTTAGTACTATTGTTAATTCGCACCATTACTCGAGGTGGGCATGAATGAATGGCTTTCCCTGCTCAAGTTCTTTTCATTTTGTTTTTTTTTTTTTTTGGTTTCCGTTGGGTGACGGGTTCTTGTGCTTGCGCACAAAGATCTCAGTATTAAAATTAAGTAGGGAGTTGGACCTTCCTAATGCTCCCTCCAATGCTCTCATGACACGTTGGCCTGTTCTTTTTGTTTTTTTTTTTTTTTTGAAGACTGGTAGTCTAGTTATTTTTGCATTAATTTTTTTTTTTTCCCAAACACCTGTAGAAAGTAGAGACCTAAGTAAATTCCAACTCTAAAGTATCGGTTGAATTTGGTCCTTGTATCTGATAGAATTTGGATTTACTTGCTTGCATACTACCACCATTGTTTAAATAAACCCAAGTACTGTTGAAACCAGGAAATAAATTTGGATACTAACTACCAAAATTGTTTTTCCTTTTTAGTTTTTTCTTTCGATAGGAAAATCATTTGACTTACTCGGGGAGTGAGTGACCACATTCCCAACTATGAATGATTGGGTGAGTTTGGTTCCTCCATCCATGGCGAAACGACTCGAAAAACTGATGCAAGAAAAGTTGGGTGAATCAGGGTTGACACTCGATATCCATGGCAATTCTGTCTGAAGAAGATGAATGTTGGATAGGACGGATCCATGTTTCAACAGTTTTTCCTCAAAAAACAAAGAAAACAAAATAAAAGGCCTAACTCATTTACGTTCAAATTCCTAACTTTTGGATCTGTGCCATTTTTATTTTATTTCTTATTGTTTCCTATTTCTTTGGTTGGAAAATGCCCACTCCTCCGCGTAAACAGGCAAGACAGCTACACCACCGCAGAAACGAAAGAGGAAACAGGCCCGAAAGTGGCAGGAAAATTTCAGTGGAAAGACCGGGCACCTCTCTTACGGGGTCCGTAATTAATTTATTGACCTACCGAAAGTTTGTTTCTTAATTCTTATCATCGTCCATCTCTCCAGTTATTATTATGATACAGTAGTATTATCAAACTTGGAAGCTCAGTTGTTGCGGACAAAGCACGTCACGGTCACCCACCCCAGAACTAGAAAATGAGCCAATCATGCAAGTAAGCAATGATCCTCTCCCTATTAACTTAACGTATGAGTGCCCGCCGAAATCCCAATTCCAATTTGTCGTCTTAACGGTTGCAGGTTTAGCAGTGGACTGGAATTGGCAAATTTGGTGGTAAACTCAGAACTGCTCCATCGTTCCTGGGATGCAATTTCTGACCTTGAAAAACGTTCCCGCCATGTTCCAGACCTTCCCTTATCTGTTGAATACAAAGACTCTGAACATCCAGGTGTGGGTACCATCGTCGCCTTCGCTTGCCCGCCATCCTCTGTAAATGTGCAGCAGCTTGAAAGAGTAGGTACAGACTTGGTTTCAGCAGATGAAATTGCCGGCTTCTTTTCTATGTTTGACTTCGTGCGGACCAAAGTCAACCCATCCTTCTCCGTCCACAAAGCTGCTGCATCGCTTTTTAGCTCTCATATGCACTTGCTCTCCCTCCTGAAAGAGAAGGTAAATTTCTTCTTTTATGCAAGCCACATTCATGTCTTAAAAATCACGGCTAAATTGGGTAGGATTTTGTATTGCCAGTTAAATGGAGTTGGAATTTACCCTTCGATTTCAGTGTTGTTTTCTACTATCAGCTAACATATAGTATTTCAAAAGGATAATAATCGACTCCGCCATATCACGCGATGGATTCAAGAAACCCTTTAGAAGAAGATTTTCTATTGTCTCGTTGGAGGTATTATATGGCTGTTAGAATCCCAGTCCCGGGGATGCTGTCCTTAATAAAACCACCCAAATGGATTCAAAAATCAAGAACACAAAATGTACCTCTAACTGCACTCGAGGCTTCACTTTACTTCAACCATGGTGGGTCTTTTAGGAGTAATGGCCTTTCTGCGCGTACAACATACATGTAGTAGTGTTTTACATTCACGAGCTTGAGCATGTCGGCCTGTAAAGAGGTTAAGAAATTGGCGTGATGTATAATTAGGCTAAATCCAAGAGTGTTATTACTTGATCCCTACTGCTCAATCTCAAGACAGATCACACAATGGTCATTGATCAATCCAGCATTTGCTTTTCTTGTATCTGAAAGTGAAAGATGGTGAGAAGGTCGTATGGATTACCTATGGTAGTGCTTAACCTTTTTGAGTGCTGATCACTCAAACTTTCTTGTGGAAAGCAACTAATTTTGCCCTTTCTGAATGCAGCATGGCAATTCCCGTCCACTAATCATTACAGGCCAGTCCATGGGAGGATCAATTGCATCTCTTTTTACTTTATGGCTTCTTGGCGACATTCCCACCAAGGCCACCAAACGTCCACTTTGTGTCACCTTTGGCTCGCCACTTCTAGGTGACCGCAACTTCCAGAATGCTATATCGGAACGTCCAACATGGAATTCATGCTTTTTGCACGTAGTCTCACCTCAAGATCCTATTCCCAAAACCTTTGTCTCATCCTATGGTTATCTTAGTAACAGTTCAATTTCCCAAACTGGCTACATGCCAGTTGGTACATTTTTGTTTTGCTCAGAAAGAGATGGAGATAGTGCTTGTTTCGAGGAACCTCGATCTGTTGTGCAACTCATGTTGGCAATGAGCTCAGAACTCGAAGAAGAGCAACGACAGAAAAGGAATTTTCAAAATGTAGATTACGGGCTCATTTTGGAGCGTCTAAAACGCTATAATCCAGTACGTAAGGAATATTCACCTCTTCATCAATCAAATATAAATCCTGTTGAAGCAGAAACTATGATACAGTTGGAAGCTATTGGAGTCAAGAGATTACAGGTAAGTTACATTACCATAATACATGATGAAAGTCATTTTTTCTTTAAAGGATATTGATCTCAACAAGACGGCAGGGAAATCAGGGCAACCGTATGACTACCTCTCTGATAGCAAATGTAGCAAGCTGGACGGAAGATTATCTAACACAGAGGAGGAATATCTTTGATCCTACAAAGAAACTGAATGACATAAAAATAGATATGGCTTATCTGGAATGGTATAAGAAGGTGTCGGTTGAGCAGGGAGGATACTATGATAGTTACAAACTTTGGCGCTGGAAAAGTAGGGATGAAATCAAAAGCAGACATGAAATCATGAAGCGCAAGAGAATTCTCACTCGATACTGGAGAGGCATAGTTGATGAAGCAGAGCAAATGCCTCAAAAAGAAGGTTTGGCTTTTCGGACTCGTGGGCTTTATGCAGGAACCAATTACCGAAGAATGGTTGAACCACTTGACATAGCTGAATACTACGGTGAGGGAAAGAAAGATTATCTAACTCAAGGAAGACCCAAACATTACAGGTTGTTGGAACAATGGTTGAACGAGGACAAGCAGCCTGGGACTGGGAATAGAAACTCAAGGAGCAAGGCTTGTAGTCTCACAGAGGATTCTTGCTTTTGGGCTCATGTGGAGGAGGCTACTATATGTTGCAATGTATTGAAGGATGGCCAAAGCAGCCTAAAAGACAGAGAAACATCAAGGAAAAGGCTCGTTGAATTTGAGCAATATGCCATGGATTTGATAAATACCTATTCGGTGTCTGTTGAGGTTTTCCTGGAGCAGAGCAGCTTCATGCAATGGTGGAATGGGTATTCTGAACTCATCGACCTCATAGGAGGATTTTTATGTCAGTCTCCCTTGAGGGATTTCATGAAGAACAAGCGCTATAGAAATTATGCTTAGGGAGTCGGAAAATAATAATGATGTGTAAAAATTGCTTGGGTCATTTTTCAACACAATAATAGAAAGGTAACAGCAGCCACCATCTCAGGAAAGGAGTCACGAGATTCCAAAATGGAAGTGTGGGCCATTTTTTAGTTGTAGCATCCAATGCCTGCATGGATTTGAACCCTATCTATCACCCCTTTCAATGGAGAAACCCCAAAAAAAAAAAGAATTAAAAAGAAAAGGTTGTCAACTCATCCTTTTAGGCTTTTACTAGTAGAAGAATAACTAATGACATAAGCACTTTTTTTTTTCCTTTTAAAAAAAAAAAAAAAAAAAAGAACGGTTGGAGAAGTAGTTGTTCCTTGAATGGCAATTGGCAAGTTCAATTTTATTGGAGACCGCAAATTAGACTAAACAGGGGAGGTGGGTACTAAGATCATGTGATCAGGAAACAATTCCCGGCCGGTATTTTAATATCACCCAAATTTGCTATGAATATTTGATTGTTTAAAAGTAACACATCCTCCAACGTAATATGCATTTTAGTTTCACCCCCCTTCCTTATTTGAGGTAAAATCGGCAACGCAATTAGGATTTTAACCCATTAAAGTCTCTCTCAACTTCACTTGCAAATCGAAATTATGCACTTTGGTGACGGATTAAAATCTTTCATGCATTAATAGGTGTGATAAATTTTAGCACAAGCAAATTCAAATGCATGATGTATGATTTCTGTTTGAATTTGGAGTTGTCTTTTTGTATGTTCATAATGCAATCAATACCTATTACTAATATTTTTTTTAAAAAAAAATAATTACACACTATAACGTAAAAAATAATAATAATTACACACTACAGTAACTCTTAACGTAATTAACAAGTAAGTGCTCAAAGAATTTGTTTACAGTAGTATTGTCCCATGAACTGATAAATTGCTGGCACCCACCTGTTCTCTCCCGGTAATCAAGGTCCATAGCTGGCCTGCTATAATTGGCGAACAACGCGCCGCAATACCACATACAAACTACACAAGGCGAGTTACTTAAGGCTAATCGATATAAAAGACAATTGAGAATTTGGAAAGAATACCGTGCGGACCCACAAGGCTGGCTGGATCATGAAATACAGGGAACGGAAACACCCTCCCCTGTTCCGGAGATTCTATTGGCCTCAAACCCGGTATTGGAGATTTGACTAAATGCATAAAAACTTGTTTTTCACCAGATTAGACTTACATAATCATCATTTAATGTATTGTCTCTGGTCATGGTGCTGCACTTTCGTCATGTCCTCCCATAACAAATTTTGAAACATTAATGCCCTAACATTCTCCGTCTCCGTCCCAATCCTCTGGCTTTGAATTCACAGCTGTAATTTAAACCCTACACCCCACCCCAAAAACAAAAACAAAACAAAAAAAAAAGCCACCAATTGCTTGTGAATTACAGCCCAAACGAATCACGACGCAATTGCGTGATTGTTCAATTATGCAAAGCAGGTGATGGTAGCTCCATCTTTAATTAGACCAACCAATGCTATGCAGATGCTGGCACATCCCATCGTATGAGTTGTCCGCTTAAAGCCATTGAAACCAGAAAGATGGAAGAATATCTTGTCTATGGAAAAAATACGTAGGTATTAGTCGGATCACGACGGGCCTCGTCAGTCGAGGATAAAATGAAGGCTTCTCTTTAATTTTTTTCTTCTTTTTTTTCCCACACCAAAGTCTTACCCATTTGCATCTTCCTCTTTTTTTTTTTTTTTTTTCCTGGGTAAGAATATGCATCTTCCTTAAATCTATTTATTTTATAACTCTATTTATTGTCACTTGAGGCAAACTGATTCGAATTGAAACTTGGCAAACAGTGATGAAGGTCGTCCACGACCGCCGTCAGGTTTTAAAGTTATTTTCTATCAAATTCTTTTTACGTTTTTATGAATATGTTTTTTAATTATTTTTTTATCTCATATAGATTTATATATATATATATATATATATATATATATATATATATATATCAAATTATTATAATATATTTTCTCTAAAAACTTTAGAAAATTATAATCTAAACAAGACCTAATTAGCAGCTTGGAATATTAACGTAGAAATCCACAAACAAAAAATTGGGAAGAAAACAAGAGCATGCGATGCGTGATCCAAGGATTCCAGATGCAACACCACCGACGGGACGACCGTGCAAACTGCAAAGTGCAAAACTCTGCACTGGTGGACCCCTCCACCCCATTGCTGGCCCCCGTGATTAATGCTTAAACCATTTGCCGCGTGTTCCCAAGTCTCCCTTCATTAGCCCCCACAGCCCAAAACCTAATACTTCTTCCCCTGCGTCTCCCTCTCCCAACCGGATCCCCCCGGCGGGGGGCACAAGGAGTTAATTTTTTTTAACAATAATAGTATTTATATAATCTATTTTATCCCATCATTATAGAAGGGGAGGGGGATCTAACCTACGAAAGGAAGTCATTGAAGTGACAAGTCATAAATAGTGATCGATGGTAGTAAATGTTTAAATTCTTGATCTTTCACCCACGGTTAAAAAGTCTTGGTAATGACTAACGGACCAATTGGCTATTTAATGATGCAACCAAGACTTAATGATGTGACACTTTTTAAATTTTTGTAATAATACCTTTATATGAAATATTTGTAAAACTTTATATCGGACGTATAATTATTATGCATGAAATTCATATAAATAATATTAATAAAATATTACATTCTTGTTATAAGCATGTACAAATAGTTAAAAAACAGTTATAACTTATTTTAGAAAATGTTACACTATTCTAGGCTAGAATTTCTAGCATTGACAATCGTCAATGGCCTGCATCTCTTGCGAGAGGAAAGCAGTAAACAAACTTTTTTTCCCCTTTTTTTAAACCTAATCTAATTAGATTTACCCTTCTCCGTTACTAATTAAGGTGACACAGTCCTCATAAGTACTGCAAGAGTAAAGAAGTTCTCAGCTTTCTTTTTTTTTTTTTTGGTTCCTTTTTTTAATCTCATCTCTAAATGCAGAGGCGGCATTATTGGTTCCCCTCTCCACCATCTAATCCCACTAAGTGATACTAGTCGCGTAGCCCAGAGGAGGGAGAACAGAAAGATACAGCCAGCAACTTCATTCTCTCTCTCTCTCTCTCACTCTGAGTCTTTCTGACAGAAGAAGATTTCCTCTCCTCCACCCCCACCCCGGCGCATCCCCAAACAAAACCCCCAAAATTGTTGCAGCGGTAGCGCATAGCAATGGCTTTAACAGCTGCTGCTTTACCATTCTTTGTTTTGGTGTCTTCAATATGCATTGATGTTTCCTCAGCCTCCCAATCCCATTACCGGCAAATTCGGCCCCCGCAGCTCACCACCAACTATTATCAGAAAAGCTGCCCCAGATTTGAGCAGATCATTCAAGACACCACCACTAACAAGCAGATCAGCTCCCCCACCACCGCCGCCGCCACCCTCCGCCTCTTCTTCCACGACGCCCTCCTGCAAGGCTGCGACGCCTCCGTCCTCATCTCCTCCACTCCCTTCAACAAGGCAGAACGCGACGCCGACATTAACCTCTCCCTCCCTGGCGACGGCTTCGACGTCGTCGTCCGCGCCAAGACCGCCCTCGAGCTCGCCTGCCCCGGCGTCGTCTCCTGCGCCGACATCTTGGCCGTCGCCACCCGCAACCTGGTCACCATGGCCGGCGGCCCTTACTACCCGGTTAGGCTCGGCGCGCCGGGACGGTTTAGTCTCCAAAGCATCCGCCGTCCAAGGAAATCTTCCCCTCCCCACAATGTCCCTGAGTGAAATCATAAAAATATTCGGGTCCAGGGGCTTTTCGGTCCAAGAAATGGTGGCGCTCTCGGGCGCTCACACCATAGGATTCTCGCATTGCAAGGAATTCAGCTCAAACATCTACAATTACAGCAGCGCCTTAGAGTCGGATCCTCCTACAACCCGAGGTTCGCGGCGGCATTGAGAAATGCCTGTGCGGATTATAAGAAGAATCCGACGCTCTCAGTGTTCAACGACGTAATGAGTCCGAACAAGTTCGACAATAAGTACTTCCAGAACTTGCCGGAGGGGGGGGTTTTGTCGTCGGATCGAATGTTGTACTCGGATGGGAGGACGAGGCCGTACGTGGAGCTGTACGCTAAGGATCAGGATGCATTCTTCAAGGCATTTGTCTGGCGATGCAGAAGCTGAGCGAGGGCGGTGTGAAGACTGGAGGGGCAGGTGAGATCAGACGAAGGTGCGATGCTTTCAACAACTGATAGATATTTTGATCGAGTGAAAAATTCAGGGAGCGACTTTTAAATATTGGTTGATCCTCAGCTCTTCTTTCTTTCCTTCTTTGCTTACCATTTTTTGTATTTTTCAATTGAGAGAATTTATTTATGCATACACAAAATATTTACTAGTATTTAAAATAAAATTTTAATTTTCCTGTAATAGCACTCCTAGTCATGAATTCCATTCATAAGCCAACTGCAAATAAATCACCATTAAGATTAGTAGTGTTAGCCACCAAACCAAGTACAGGAATGTCAGAGTGAAATGTTAAGAACAACCCAAATTAGTAGATGGGATTCGCAGCAGACAGTTAGAATCCTATCCTGTGTTGGGAAGGCGGGGCAATCTTGACACAGTAATTCCAAGTGTGTATTGAAGCTGGAAATCTTCGAGTTATAGGACTGATCTGCTGCTGCATCTCAAAAATTCTTCCCACTGGACTTTTAATTAACCAGTTGTCTTTGTCCAGGGTGTGGTGTACTATAAGACTGACTCTGCTCCATCCAAGAAATCTTTGAAGAAGCCAATAATGAACTATGAAACCAAACCAAACTTTTAATTTTAACAACAAATCGTTTCTGGTAGGCGCCATTAACGATCAAATCGTTTAAGCACTCTTCCCAAAAGAAATCTCCGAAAACTTCTGATTTATTCACAACCAAATGCTTTTAATTTTACTAATTTATTATTAGCACCACTCTTCCACTACCAGAAAGGAAGAAAGATTTAAGGAAAAATAGAGAACCGGAGAACGCGCTCTCGAACGCCAAAAAAAAAATCACTTTACCCAGAAAGTCATCCGCTATCATGGCATGGCATATTGGCATGGGTTTCTCCTGCCTGGAGAATCGGACTGTTCACAGCACTGCAACCGCCGCAGAAGAACCGGACCCCTCACCGGATTGATGCTCTGCCCCTGCCTGAACTCGCATCCTCGTCGTCAGATTTCAGCAACTCCTCCCAATCCACCGCCTCTTCCTCCTCATCCTTTTGTTTCAGAACCTCCAAAATCCTCCTCACCTTCTCCTTTGACCGCTCGCTTCCCATCTCCTCCAACTTCTTCAACACTTCCTCTGCGTTGGCCTCCTTCCCCAATCCTTAAACCTTAACCCCCCGTGACTCAACCCGTACAGTGCCCCCACGCAGCTCTCTCGAGTCGAATCCGACTCAAAATTCTCCCTCTCGAGCATCTCGATAAAATATCCCACTGCCCCACCGTCCAGCATCGCCCCCCGCCCTTCCGCGCTGGCCGCTAAATTGCACAGCACCAAGAGGATCCGACCCGTCATGTGCCCCGATCTTGCCATGCCCAGCAACACTTGCACTGATCCCATTTTCACCATTTTAACCCGATTGCTCTGGACCAGAGAAAGATGATAAAGTGCCAAGGCCGAGTCATGGCGAGTCCGCTCCGAGTCAGACCGGAGAGCGTGTAGAAGCGGAGGCAGCCCGCCTAACACCCCAATTGCTGTCTTGTTCTGATCATCAAGCGCCAAACTGAAGAGGGCACCCGCAGCGTGGTCCTGCGACTCGGGGAATCCACCCCTCAGAACACCAATCACAGGGGGACGATCCCTGACCTCACGATATTGACCTTGTTTCGATTCTCTAGGGACAGGTTCACCACAATGGCGACTGAGTTCACCTGAACAGAAGCGTGTTTGGAGGTGATGAGAGGCCGGAGAGCCGAGAGTAGACGAGCCGTGCAGAGATTCACCCGGGATTCCTCCTGCGTCCGGGTTAGTTTCCGGAGGGAAAGCAGAGCCTCCTCTTGCTCGAACACTTGAGAGCTCCTGAGCTTGGTCACGAACTCGGCCTCTTCGAGGGAGCTAGGGTGATTCGAGGACTCGATATCTGAGGAGGACGAAGAAGAGCAGCAACAAGAGGGGCTGGTGGTGAAAGGCAGAGGAGTGGTGGGCCCGCTGATGACAGCGGCGGCCGTCACGGATTCCTCGGAGCTGGTGGAAACTTGACTAGGCGTCCGAGTCAGCTCGGTTTCTTGGGAGGAGAACACTGATAATTGATGATTAGGTTTCTGCTGGGAGCGGGAAGCGAGCAATAAGGTGCGAACGAGGTTATGAGCGGAGCAGAAATCGAGGGGTTTGGGAGGAAGGGTAAAGAGGGTAGAATGGCACCAGCTGAGGATAGCGGACTTGAGGGCGAGGTTAGGGATGAGGGTGGAGAAATCGGGAACGGAGCCGTCGGGGAGGGTGGGCCTGAAGTTGAGGGACTTGCAGGCATCGATGCAGTTGCGCTCGAAGGAGTGGCCGGAGGAGACAATAACTGGGTCGACCATGAGGGAGCCGGAGATGGGGCAGACGAATTCCGGAGGAGGTTGGATTTTTTGCTTTGGGGATTTCTCGAAGTGGATTTTCCACTTGGGCAGCTGCTTCTGCTTGGCGCCACTGCCCATCTCCCTTTTTCTTTGTTGTTTTGATCCTGAAAAGGTTTTCATATGTGAGGGATATTACGGATGGATAGGCAGATTTCAAATCGGGTAGGTGTTGCGGATGGTGATGATGATGATAGCAGTAATCTTATCAACTTTGAAAGAGGGATTGTAGTGCTGATTACAATTGGGGACATGATGATGATAATAATATTCTGCCACTAGCTGATGAATCTCTCTCTCTCTCTCGTTGCACAGATTGCTACAGAGTGTAACAGACTAGCCAGTTGAGTAAAGCGAGGAGCGGAAGTGAAGGGAAGAGATAACTATTCTTCTTCCGGTCAGGGAGCTAGATAACTATTCTTCTTCCGGTCAGGGAGCTAGCTAGAATCAACGAGCGATCTCCGGAGGATCTCTCTCTCTCTCTCTCTCTATTGCGTTGGTTGATACACCCCTGCTTGATAGGCAGCCAGAGTGCGCATTGGCGACTGGCCAGATTCGAATGTTTATGATCAAATTGGCGACTATGAAATACTACAACTACGGCTACGAGGAACTGTCAAGTTGTCAGCACTCAACTCGACTGTGAGATGGTGCTAATCATTTCCTTAAAAGCTTTGCGTCACAAGGAAGGATCTTTGCTGCTGACTTCCTGTCCTTTTTTTAAAAAAAAAAAAAAAAAAATTCACTGTCTTACCCTTCAATGGTTTGTTTGGATTGTGTTTTATTTGGAATATTTATACTGTAGCATTTTTTGTGATGTGATTTGAAAATTGTAATGATGATGTAAATAGATAAAATTGGAGAAATAAAACACAGTCCAAACAAACCAATTTATGGTTAATAACGGGAGCTTCCAGGAAGGAAATTTTTATTTTTCAAGTATTTGTTTTTGGTTTGTGCTACTCCTGTTTCTTTTCTTGATGATTCCTTTACATGACAAAAACAGACGGCAGGATCCGACGGATGGCTTTCTTTGACACGAGCCAAAACCTTAGTGAGATTTTGTTTTTTGTGGCACCCCCGCCCCGAGTTTTTGCTTATTCCATCGACGACTCTCTGTCATTTTCACGGGAGTTTGTGACTTCGTGGAATTGAAGTGTAGGCCACCGAGGGACCTTTTCGCCAATCAAACCGACCCCTTTCTAATCTTGTCTAGTCTTGAAAAGCTCAGAAAGAATTTGAGGTTAAAACTCTCCCAACATAAAAAGCCATACAGAGAGCGCTGTGACATCAATGAATAATAAACATATAAGCATGGAAGAGCACTACACGACTCTCTAATTATTATTTTTTTTGTCCCGAAAAACCTTAATAACTAAGGTTCACCCTCTGTCGTCGCCTTGTTCTAGGCTGGATGGATGGATGGCCCCTTTTCTCAAAGCTATCCCCGTAAAGCTCGCTCTTCCACCTTCTCCCTGTCTATAATCATTTAAGTAATACTTAGTCGTAGTATCAAACAACTGTACTATTATTTGATTTTTTCAGCGCAGTTTAAGAAAAAGTAGTTAATTTTATTGGAACAGATCAATTTAGGTAACTATTGTTCTAAAACCCTCATATTAATTAGAGTATAACTTTATGGGAACTTGAATTGATAGTGAAAAAGAATCAACTCTCATTAATAGGGTAGATTTATAGTAACAACAACTTACATTGAATAAGGGTATTTTAGAAAAATTAAAATACAACTGCATTCTTCAATTGAAAAATAAATTACAATTTGGGACAGACGAAAAAGAGTAACGGAACTATCAAAATGGGACGAAAGGAGTATTCTTTTTTAAAGGGCGAAAAAGGTCTTTCCTTTCTCTCTCCTCCAATAATGTTGAGCCCGTTGGCAGGTCTTTCCTTTCTCTTCTCCTCCAATAATGTTAAGCTACGTACAACTATGTAGTGAGTATTAATTTAAGGCCCTCGTTATTCCAATGGTTCTGTACCACAATACCAGTGCTTTGCTATACCGCTAGAAAGTTATTCATTCAATTGTTCTAAAAGCAGCAACACTACTCTAGCTTTGGTTCGAGAAAAAGACGTAGTAGATATGTATTTGAGCTTTGAACTTTATGAAAGGAAGAGCATTCTCCTGCTTTACAAATTGGCACCAACACCATCTACCTTTTGTTTGTTGCAGCCATATGAGAGGAAATGATTCAATTGGGTTATTGCTGTCCATTTTTATGCAACACATGCCCTGTTTTGGGTTGGTGCCTCTCCATGCCTTTTAGTTGGTGATGATCTCTCTTGGTTACATACTGTATCCAGCATGATGGCCCGTGCATTAGTTGGAGACTAATAGCTGTTTCGAAGAGGGAGAAAAAAAAAAAAACTTAAATGCAAAGGCTAAAGTGAATGATTTCACCTGAAAGTACTTTATTCATTAGTACTTGGGAAAAATAGGTTCCTGCTAAATTCCCTCAAATTCTTTTCGGATTGCTTTCGGTATGAGAAGTCTGAAAATCTGGGAAGTTTTCTTCTTTTGGGTGTTGGGGGCCACCCGGGGGGAGGGGGGGGGCGTGGTTGCAACTCTCCCGTACAACATTGTGGCCTCACAAGTTTGATTTCAAACAAGTTTGCTTTGGAGTATAAATGAGTTGGATTAGAATGTAAATAAGTTACAACATAGTGTAAAAAAAAATTTCAAATAGCTATTTTACCTTGAAATGGAGTCACATAAAATTTGTGAGGCTCGAATTGTGACATGACACCTCAAATCCAGTTGGATTATCAATAGTGTCACTACTCAATGCCAATCTCACTTATCAGGTGAGGTGAGTGTAAAAGAAACTTAAATAAATAGCATATAACAAGTTAAATAAATAGGATATCTATATCTATATAAATTTGAGAAGCGATTTTTAGCAACAAGCCTCCACGCATCTTCCCACTATCAATTCCATTTTTCTAACATTTCATATTTAATTTAATAAAAAATATATTTTTTTCAACTTCCACATCTATTTTTCACATTTGAAATTGTTGGTTACTTTTTAAAATCATTTTATTTCAAATTGTTGGTTAATGTGCATGTTATTCTATTTGAACTTCAACCCATCACGTTTCCGATTATCTTGCGTTATTTATGATTCTACAACAACTAAAACTTCTATAAGACCATAAGAAGAGATAACAAATATAACATCCTTTCATGCTTTCTTATTAATTTAAATGAGTAAGATTATTTACAGCCCATTTTTGTTATTCACACTTCAATAATCATAAGTAAGAGGTGGCTTCCATGCCTTTCTAATTTAAAAAAATAGTGGCTCCACTTATATAGGAATTTAGTTTGAAGTTTATTAGTGGGAGGGTAAATAAAAAAAAAACATTGCCAAACTTAATAAAAGTAAAAAAGTAAATGATAATATTTTATCTTTTAACTAAGTAATCCTAAGTAAAAGGGTAAAATTAAATAGAAAACAAAAAGGAAATAATGTCGTGGATTTAAAAATCAAGAATTGTATCATTCGTGAAATCCAAATTATAAAATCACTAAATAAAAAATAAAGTACTACTAGCCTCCCACATTAATTCATTGTTCATACCAGCACATTAATTCATGCAAAAATCGTGCCTTCTCATTTATAATACGAATTCCATAAAATTCAACAAAAATAATTAATCTCCCAATATTGGTGTTCGTACTTAGAGTTGATTGGTGTGAAAAATGTTCACACCTTCGTAGAAGATTATCAAATCGAATGCAAAATGTTTGTAAGTATTTCATTTACTTATCAATTTACATATTCAATTACATTTAATTGGACCCTTATATTGCTCGATTTGTGATATACATTTCTACTTTTTTCAGGATCCAACTTCCATCAAAAGTGATAGTTGTTTATAAATAATGAACATGTTTTTATCATACTTTGAACTATTGCTACAAAATTTTATTTTTTTAACTATATTTTGATGTGCCCTAAATGGTACAAGCAATTACATAAATTTTTTACTCTTTTTAAATTCCTTCCTCAATTATAATTTATTCCAAAAATACAACTTACTGTGCGTAGCGCAAGTGTTTAGACTAATTTGGCATAAATATAGAAGTGGTACTAAGGCTTTCACGTGCCTCAAATCACGTGTGTTTACGTTGGAGTGGGAAGGTAAATGCATATTTATCAAATGCTCATGCACTTTGTCTTTCTTAGTTTATATATTTGGCACTCCTTGTTTTTAGGTGTTACAGAAAACAATTTTTTTTTACGGTAGAAGACATTAACAAGTAAAAACCCTAAAGCTTTATAAGGACATTTTAAAAAGTATATCTTAAAAGATACCCCACCATTAGTCCCAAAACTTTCATCACTATCATTATCACCTCTTCCTTTCCTCTTCCCTACCACCTTTCTAAGAGAGAAAGACTTCTCCATGCAACCCTAAACTTACTACCATTGTCTCTCCTTTTTCCCTCCCTAAATTTGGAGGAAATAGGAGAGGGTTAGCAAGGGGAAGAAGAGGTGGGCAATAAGGGGTAGGAGAGAAGAGAAGAAAAAGGGCGCAGCCGTTAGGAAGGTAGAAAGAGATATAGGGAGGGAAGGAGTCAGGCGTTATGAGTGTTTTCAGACAAATAACTATTATTTTTCTAAAACAATAATAATGAGTTATAATAAATTTTAGACATACACTTCAAAAAATATATATAGCATCCATCCAATCGAACCTTAAGTTACTTGTGAGTTGTGAGCGTTGGCATCAAGCAAACGACATTCTAATCTAAAAAATTTATCGGCATGACTGGTAAATTCTATCATTTTTTGAGTGTCATACTCATGATTACCCAATAAACTCTTACCATGTCATTTAAACAAATCATCTAAAAGGTCAAATTTCTATTCACACATCTAAGAGCGAGTAGGGTAGATATTCATCACTATGGTATCCAGAAGGTACTCGAGAACTCCAGCATAAACTAACGAATGGTTCTCTTTAACGGAGAGACGAATTGGAGGCACTGCGCGTGCCGTCCTACGAGTCCAAATTCACTGTGCTGGCCATAACAAGAATTGTTAATGGGCTTTACAGCCGCCAAGCCCATGGAACATCCTAGAAGAAGAATCGAACACCGACCCAATTCCACTGCGGTGGCCAATAGCGCGCAAAGAAGCGCGTGAATGACAAAAGGATGCGCACAAGGCAGACTAGGAGGCTACGTCGGATATATAAATAAATATGCATCTACTAGGCTTATGCCCAAGCCATCGTCTAGCAGAAAGAAAGAAAGCCATAAGCGTAAGCCTATAAATAACTAGAAACGCTCCTCCTCCCCGCTTCAGAGAAATCAGAACAACAATCAAATCTTTGACCAGAATTCCGATCAGAATCGATACTTCGTATAATTGTCGATTAGTAGTCCAAGGAAGAAAAGAAAATCACTCTTCATCATCACCATCTTTTTTCCTTCCTGCTCTGCTGTTGGGACAGATTAGGAAACCATATTCAGGCGAGAAAAAAGAACAAAATTTTCAATGGAAGGAGGAGGGACGGAAGCTTTCCCGGATTTAGGGAGGCACTGCCAACACTCTGATTGCCATCAACTCGATTTTCTCCCCTTTAAATGTGGTGCCTGCCATAAGGTAGTTCTACTACTAATTTCTTTAATCATCTTTTCGTTCAAAATCCTCCTCAAAATTTATTCTACGCGTCAAGCGACTTGATTGACTGTCTAATTAATACAATGATGATCCTATCAACATTCAACTTCAAACTCGGATTTTGCAGGTCTTTTGCTCGGAGCAACCGATCCTACAAGGCCCACGACTGCCCCAAATCGGAGCACAACAGCCGGAAAGTTGTGGTCTGTGAAATATGTTCGACGTCGATTGAGACCACCGGGTATGACGGTGTAGATGAGAAATTCTGCACTGAAGAAACACGAGAAATCAGGGATTGTGACCCCAAAAAGAAGAAGAAGCCCACCTGCCCAGTTAGGCGGTGCAAGGAGGTTTTGACCTTCTCCAACTCCAGCACCTGCAACACTGCCAGATTAAAGTTTGCTTGAAACATCGATTTCCAGCAGACCATGCGTGCTCCAAGCACATGATCTCTTCGTTTTCAACTTTGGCCAAGGATGGAAGGAAGCCAATAGCAAATTCTTGCTTGCTTTGGCTTCAAGAAACGGAAAGGATTGTCCGGGAACAAAACTCGTGGTTCTACTTCACCTCCTGCACCTTCTGTCAAAGCTCATTGATCCAAAAAAAAAAAAAAAAAAGTGGATGAAGAAAACAAAAGTCAAAAAATTTGCAGGATTCAGCTCCATATACATGTAAATAGTAAAGCATCTTGCCATTTTAGTTCCGCCCCTCCAAGATTAGGGTGCATTAATGAATGATTTACTTTTGACTCCTTGATTTTTAGGATGCATCAAGATAAAAACACGCTTTGTTGCTGATATCTTTTGAAGCATCCTACATATAAACAAGACATTGGTCAAATTCCATTTGCGTTGCATGAACAAGAGACTTGCTCATGCTTTGATACAGATTTACCAACTGTTAAACGCCTATACACAGGCAAACAACTGCACACGTATTTTGTGTGTAGCTTTTGAAACTTCCATTTAGTAGACTGGGCGAAATAAAAAGTAGCACATTTTTGAATTTAATTTCCTGAATTACATCGCTGGTGGCATTCATGCAGCAGAGGTAGTCCTGCTGAAGGTCGTTTAGCTCGGGCAACATAGCTATTAGGATTTTCCTTCCTTGGTCCCTGAAAGGCAAATGAGACTTGTCAGGAAGCTAATTATAGACGACGATGGCAAGGCACAAAATGGAATACACGTTCATGCTAAACACAAGTTCCAACTGTACAAAAATAACCGATTTTGTTGTTGAGCAAGCCAAGGGTACACCTGCCTCAAGAATCGAGATCGAATGGACAAAAGAAAGCGGAACCTTAAAAAAAAAAAGTGAATATACATAACAATAATCTGCTTCAATAAGGCCACCTTTGTCTATGAGAATCTATTTTCAAAGGTCGCTTGAAGTAACAACTGCCAAAATTCACAATAACTCAGTATCCATCTCAATCAGCTTTAGAAACAAAACCTTTGGTTTGCGAAATGAATCGCAGAGATCTGATATCTCCATTCAGTCATGAAAATTTTTACCTTACCAAAACTATAGGGCTGCTTATCTTGCTCTTCATTTAATTATTTTCATTTACTCTTCAATTTGAAGCAAGAATGGTAATCGTCTCTAAGGTGCACTTCTAATTGACATTAACAATCATCATCAAGCTAATGTTGCAAGGAAGTAAGGGTTTCCAGCGTAAAAAAGTATAAATACCATTGGTATACCCAATTCCTTCAAGTCACGGTCTCCCATCTGCTTCAATGCAGCCATGTCCACCTGCAATGAAAATTAAACATGCGGTAAAGCGATAGAATCAATGCACAAGACTTAATGTGTAGCAATATATTGGTGATAGTATACCCACATTGGTGATAGTAACTGTAAAGCAAGTGGTGGTTGAATCAAGAGAGATTTCTATGAACAAGCTTGCAAATGCCATGGGTTACAATCTTGGTCTCTCTTTACACAAGTAACTCGTGCAACAATCAACATCTTATACATGAAGCTCATCCCCTAATTCTGCTTGTTTCTGGGTGATCATTTAGGTTGGGGGAGGTGAAGAGAGAGAGTGGATGGATGTCCCCATAACAGGGGCTAATGTCTAAGGTTCATATGCCCAAACTAATAATCATTCAAAATTAGCAATAAGTACTTGAGTGCCCTGGAAAACTCAATACTTGGTGAAGATAACACACACATGCTGTACTTGCAAACATTTGAAAAGTGGCAAGGAAAAATAAATCAAACAATAAATCTTCCAACCATTTGCAAGCATCTCATGGTAAAGTCAATTGATTTTAGTGATCATCTGTCTATGCTTGTTTTGCGAGAATTTTAACAAGCAAGCTTGGGATGTGGGAGATAGACATCTTCAAAAGACAACATTGAGGACAAAGTGATCTATTAGAACTCCTTGCCTCAGCATGGCACTTTATCCTCAATCTTCAGCAAAAGAAAAGAAACATGAAGAACAGACCCTCAAATTCCCACATATCACCAAAATGTGGATGGTACAGAAGTATATTAAATAAATCAAGTTACCTCCTCTGCCTGAAAAAGGATGGCGTACTTGCCCAAACCAAGTGAATGCAACAAGCTAGTGACAGTAAGATGTTCATCCTATGCAAACAACAGGTAAAAACCATCAAGAGGGCATTGACAACAGTGACTAAGGAAACTAATGCAGGGAAAAGGCAAAATTAGCAAAAAAACTATGTAGTACACTTGTATTTGGATACATAATAAGTGCAACGTTAAATGGTGAAAATGCAGCGACTGATGTTAAATCTACTTAAAAGTTTTTTTAGAAAAAATGTAGTACTCCAAACAGATTTAAGAACAAAAAATGTAACTGTGTTGCTCAAAGTAATCTGAACATGGTAAGAAAGTCTATCATAAGATGAACTAATGAACTATTTGTTAAGCATTATCTAACAAGAAGGCAGCATATGAGTCTTATTGTCCACTGGTCTAATTTCAGCGTCTCCAAATTCACAAGCGTAACCAATTTTTCCTTTACAAAATTGATAACTGTCAATCAAGGCACTTCTAAGTTAGCCACCAATCTCTTGGCCGCCATAATAATATGCTAGAGTAAGATAAAGTAAAAGCAGAAGGTAAATTCATACAGCATAAGTGTTTCTCAGCATACTGCTACTTGCTGGTGGAAGATCCTTGAAAGGCTTGCTAGGATCCAGACTGGTCCTTGTGGTTGCAGCCATAACCCTCATAGATGTAGGGCCCTTTTGCGAAGGATCCAAGAGATCAGAAGACACCATACGTCCAGCTCTGGAAGCCAAGACTGGCATTGGTGATTGCAGCACCTCACCAATAGCCCTTGAGGATGATATGCCTCCAGACATTTGGGGATTCCTAGTGGGGCTTTAATTCTTAATCCATCCACAGTATAAGAACTGTAAGACTTTGCAATGATTCCATCCGCAATGATTCACCAGCCCTTCTTAATGGTGCAATATTTCTCGAAAGAGATCTTTCAGGCCCTTCTGAAGATTGAGTATTCCACGACATCTTTTCCAGTAGTTCCTTCTTCTTCTGTTCCTCAATTCGCCTGGACATTCTTTTGTGCAATAGTTTCAGACGTAAGTCATTTCCGCTTAAGCTTACATCTTCATATACCAATTTCAGTTGAAGAGAAGTTAAGATACAGACCAAAAACTATGCGATATTAATCTGATAAAAGTTAAGACATATGAAGCTTACCAGCAGAGCCAGTGTATCCGGAATTTCTTGAAATTATATCCTCCTGGAGTCTGAAAGCATGACATCAAAACCCACTAAAATCAAATTGACACCAGTAGTTCCGACCACTAAAAGACCACAGAAATCTTCAACCTAACAGATTGAAAAATATACAGCAGAAGAAAGAAATTGATATTAAGGGATAACGAACAGAATGTGACATTTTATCACTTCTAAAGGAACTCAATTATGAGTTCTGAAGGGCCAAAAATACTAAGCAAGAGTATCTTACTGGCTAGAGAAAGGTGTTAGATTCCCTCATGTGTTATGTGAAAAACAGGAAAAATTAAAGTATTTATGTGATCTGTAAATTAAAGAGCAGTCAGCAGAGATTGAGCATAGTTTTTGAAGAAAAATGGTGAGGAAAAAATTGGGATAGGAAGCACCAACCTCTTGTTGGTGTAAAACAAAGAATCTTGAGCGCTGCCATTGGCCCTAGATCTTTTGGTTCCTGATAATGCAGGAGCATCGCTAAGGAAACCCTCAGAGTTATCCGACGTCCTCCTTACTACCTTCTGCAAATCAAACATAAATATCACAAACACAGCACAACATACAGTTGAAACACTTAATTCAGAAATTCATAATGACTCCGAAGTTGACCTGCAGGTCCAAACACAAGTATCAAGAAATTAGACCTCATAGCGTGGGGGCCGCGGGAAGGGGAAAAGAGATCGAAGACCATGGGGATGAATCATGACGTTTCCCAACCCCTCGAAAAGAAATGGTGGGAAAAAAGAACAGAAAAAGAAGAAATGGAAAGGGAAAGATAAAGGAAGGCTTACTTGACCAGAGCGTCCAAGAGTGATGGTCACCTGAGGTCTTGCCATAACTTGATCTTGCTCCCCTCCTTCACAATACCCAAAGCTCAAGTGGCCGGAAGTTTAACCCAGTAATTATTAAATAATAATAAAAAAAAAGATGGGTGAATTACGTCAATGAATAAAATCGATCACAAATAAGTAGGAGTAATCAATCTGGAGGAGTAAAAGTGGAGGTCAGCATCCTCTCGGAAAGTTTCATCGAAGAATGCAAAATGTCAAAAGGATTGTAAACGGTGGGGAAGGCAAATGACAAAATGGCAAAGGAATGTTTGCCGGAGAGTCTTGAGTGTAGTACCGCCGCAGCAGGAAAGGTACCGTAAAGGGCAAAAGCGTGGGGTGGGGTTGGAGTGGACTCAGTTACAAGTGTACTGTTTAGTAGTATTTACTACTCCCTACCACGTAGACGTAGTCCATGAATGGGTCGGGCCGATCCATTCCAGGTGCAGCAATATTCAACAAAATTTTCTTTTCTGCGGGTGGGAAGGGAAATGACGCACGGCCTTGGCCCGAAACGGAGACAGGTATCTATCAAAATTTGGACAATTCTTTACTTTGAAAAGCTAAATTGGACAATCTATTTGAAAAGGTAAAAAGAAAAAAATTGCTTGACAAGTTTTTCAACATTTAAATTAGATTAAAATGGATCAAGAAATTCTCATAAAATGTTTATGGTAAAGCTTAAAAGAAAATATTAAATATCAACTTTATTTTTCTTTCTAAATAAGCAAAGTTTTGTATGTCAATAGAAATTAGTAACATTTAAAAAAGATTCTTAAGAATGAATTGAATGATAGTGAAAGAGAGAAAAATGAAATGTTTCAAATTTAAAATCTCTCACTTGCATAAAAGAGAGAAATTTATAAACTTGTATACGATTTGTTTCAACATCTTTCTATCATACAGGATTATGTTTAAAACAATCGTTTGAAATCTTTTATATATATATATATATATATATATATATATATATATACACACACGGCGGACGTGCGCGCACTAAATTGCCTTGTTTAACTGAAAAACTACCATTAGAAAAATCACAAGGAAAGAAGGGAAACTCAATGGCAGTTGCAATCTAATTGAGAATTTGCGTTCTTCCGGCAACGCGTCGAGAAACTTGTTGCCTAATCTGCATTTTTATTAACCAAAATTGCAGAACTCGATTCCTCCACTACAATCTTTCAAGTCTGGACTGTCATCATTACTGAGTAATATGCTCGACGGCCCACCACGTATCTGAACCAAATATGTCATTACCTTCGAGAAGTGTGATAACTTTGGTACATCAAAAATATTTTACAACGCTACTTTCTTGATTTGAACAAGTATACAGAGGATAACTTTCATTAGACAAGTTATCAGGACGAGTTAAAGCATCACATGTTTGCTGTTGTTTCCCTGATCTCCTCAAGCGATATGGCCTGCAAGGAGAAGACATTCAACAATGTCATAAAGGAGACGGATACAATGAAGTCCCAAGCTACCAAACTAACTTCAGTCGAAAGAAAACTTCATTATGGAATATCGAGTCCAAAGCATATCACAAAAAAAGGTCTAAAAGGAAAAACTCAAGTCACCTGTTCGTTCCCAGCAAAATCGTTCTCAGCTGTGAGGAAAAGCATGCAGTGGCACTCCTTCCTGCCCACATGAACTTGTAATTTTAGCAGAGTCTCAAAACCACTACAAATGTGAATAGTCAGAACAGGAAAACAACACAGCAGGGAACTGCAAAGAGATTGAGGAAATAATGTGTGTTGGGCCAGCAAAGAGTAGCCTTCCCCTCTAGCCTCCCCTTTTAAAATTTTTGAATCCTTGGGACACTTTGCCTACACCAATATTATACTCGAGAAAAAAGAATGGAACGTAAATGACCTATGACCTTAGTAATTCTAATTGACGAAATACTCAGTCTTCAGAACAAAACAGCTCTACTACTCTTCCAGTTGCAAAACAGATGCATGAGCTATCAGAACATACATGTGACATCTCCATTGACTTTGAACACTTGCAAAAACTTCCTTTGTTTAAATGGTTGCAATCTTCAAGTCATATGCTCTACATCATCTTCATTCAAATTAACCAGCTATTGAACTACCTTACATGGAACCATCAACAATCATTATAAACAGCATCTCATTGTTAAAAACATACAAATTCTGCTATCCAGTTTTCTTCATCCATTCCTGTATTTGTTTTACGATTTCAACTATGGTCATGTTACAAAAAATTCTTGACCAGATAATGCAATAAATTGACAGAGTCCTGATTGGAGAAATAAATAAATCCATTAATCCACAAAAGAAGAAAATGCATCTGCAACTACATTACCCGAAGAACAGAACATTTAATACAGGTTACACAAAATGGAATCAACCTACATCTGATATCTTACCTCTCTCTCATGGGAACACACGGGCAGTTCCAAAACCCTTGTTGCGCCTCTGCAACTTTATCATCATAATGCCTGGAATTGAAATCCATAACTGATTGAATAGAGGAACAAAGCATAGGTGCAAATGCCTTTTTTAACATTTTCAATCATAAGAAAATAAGATCAAAACAAGCATCAGGAAAAGGAGCTCATGAATGGCTATTTACCTACAGGGGCAGAGTGGTGCACCCAAAGTATCCCTGTGCTCTGCCAATCCCTGGCAACAGTCCAGAAAGAATTTTGCAAACCAAAGTTACTGGAGAAATGCCATTTGCCATAACTTTAAAGTAGATCATTCAAATGAGAAATGGTTTACTTCAGGCCACTTCCATGAGTTAAATTTTTCTGGTCAGTATATTTATGTGCACGTACAGGAAGACTCTTAATTTCATTTTGAGCAATTTAGCACCACCTCAATATTTCAAATTAACTTTTGATTCCATTGATACTGATGCATGAAATTCCTTAATCTTATGAAATCACAGATCACATCTTTTGCTGCATCAAGAAAATTGCATCGACAAGGCTAGTGATCAGAACACAAATCCATATTTTTCTTAGTTTTTTTTTTTTTAAACTCAAATCACAAAAAATTATCCATCCATAACAGAATACGCCAATTACAAAGAGGAGAATAAAGACTACCACAGAAATGTCTATTGAAAAATGTACATAGATATGCTCATATTGCGCGTGTTTTAATGCATTTCTATTCTCTACATGCAGTGCTCAGAATTTTCCAGTGGGGCATTTCAAATTGGTGTCCCTTCCTTACTCTTTTCCACATAGGACCTACCAAGATAAAAGCAGCAGATTCTCCTTAGGACACAAATAGTCCTTTCTATCATCTAGTATTAGAAAACATATGGAAAGAATCCACAAAACCAGCCCAAGTATTAAACCATCTAAACATGTATAGTTAAGAATAATAGTTTCTTCAGCAGAATATTGACTCGCGCAGAAGGCAGAATAACGTTTTAGAAGCACATGAATTGCTGAAATAGTAAAAGCGGAAGAAAAGAAGGGAAAAAATACCTTGATAACAACAGAAGTAACACCTTTGTCCATACAGAAATAGGTTCCGGACCTACGAGCATACTGCTCCGAGAACTTTCTCATGATTTCCACAGATTTCTCCGTCGGTTCCGCTACCAAACAAAATTTTCACAAACAATATCTCTAGATAAGTAACACGTAGTAATTAAACGAAAAAAAAAAAAAAAAAAAGAGTACCATCACCAAGACTAGCCTGATAATTTAATTAATAATGTTTTAATTCTTGTAAAAAAGGAGGTAAAGGAAGATTGAGCATTGGCTGAGGAACCTACAAGACTAGGTTCCAATCAGAGACAACGCATTTGGCAATTAATTTTGACTCTAATCCTTCCGAATTTCAGTATTAGGGATAAAAATTAAACACAAAACAAAAGGAAAAGAAACATGACATACTAATTAAACTAGTACCTTGAGCTAGGACGAGAGTGCGGTGACGAGACGGCCTTGAAGGCGGAGGGAATGATGAAACGGCAAAACCGACACCATAGGAGGTTGACGCCTGAAGAGCTGTTGTCATGGTGGAAGCTACAACTAATTTGTTAGTTTGAAAAAAAAAAAAAAATCCTTCTCACTAGTTTTGTTTATCGCACTTGATGAGTTAACAGATGTTGTAGTAATAAATCTGAAGAAGGAGAAGAAAAAACTAGCAGCAGGATTGTGGTGTTATTGTGAGGGAAGACAGTTTGTTTTTGTATGGTGGATTTGATGCGCCTGAGAATAATTATAATACGAAGATTTTTTATGGTTATTTGCGGGTGAAGGTGGTTTGGTGAGGGCCACTCGTTGGCAATATCGGCCACCAATCAATCTTACGGAGCCACAGTACTGTGTTATTAATTTTCCACGCTACCGCCATATTGAAGTTCTCTATCTATCCTGGATGAATCTGTTTTTTACATTTGGCCCAAATGATGCCGTTTCTGGCTTAAAATTTGCGTTTCCGGAGGCCCACAATTTGTACAGGCGGCTGTTCCCGGTCTCTACTTTCATAAAGTCCTTGAAACCCAGCCCACTAGTCAGGGCTCCGGACGTTAGTTTGGTATGTGAGAAAAGTTTGTAGCGCCTAAAAAGAGCCCGGATTAAAATATATATATATATATTAAAAACCTCTAAAACCAAAAGGGGAGGGGAAAAAAGATTAAAGTATCAAATATTGAAAAGAAATTGATATGTTTCTGCCGTTGCCACACACTTGCTACTTCTACGGCGGTCGTCTTCCAAAAAATTTACAAATAAATATATTAGTGGTTGCATTTTCACAAGAGTTTTTTTGAGAATAATTTCTAGTATATCACTTTTTAATAATGTAATGTATGTGAGATTAAAAAATATAATTAAAAAATTTGTAAAAATAATATTTACAAAAAGTTTTTTTTTAAATTTTTCCAAAAAGTGACAATACAGACAAGGCCTCAATTTTCTGGTTAGGCTGCACTGCTGCTATTAGGGGTGTGCATCGAATTCGAAAATCGGTAATTCGAAAGTTTGAATTCGAAATTTTGGTATTTGATAATTTGACTGAATTCGATTTCGAATTCATACCGAATTCAATTCGAAATTCGGTAAATTCCAATTTCACTGAATTCGGAAAAATTTATATATTATTATATAATATAAAATTTATAATATTATAATATAATATTATATTACATGTATAAAAATATATTTATATATTAAAAACGAATTTGAAATCGAAATCAGAATTCAAATTCCAATTTGAAAAATTCAACTATCTAATTCGAACAAAATTCAAAATATATGAATTCGGAAAATCATGTCGGACCCTTCCATTGTAATAAGTTCCATGCAGACTTCCCACCGAACTGCCTCTTCCTTGAATAGTAGTTTTTTTTTCCCCCAAAGCAAAATGGGCAGTCGGCGTCTTG